AAGTGGAAATTCAACGTTGTCCTTATTAGATTAAAATCATAATCAAATATTGAACATTTACAAAATACTATTATTTATTAATTATAGTTTGATTTTATTATTATTTTTAAAATAAAATCTGAAATAAAAGAAAATTAAATAATTTTAGATGTTTTAGTATAATTTTAAAAATTACAGTAATGTTTCTATTAGAATATTTATTTCTAGTAATTAAACAAAAATTATTATAGGTACACTAGAAAAAAAGAAAAAGGAGATTTTAAAATGTAAGTAGTAATGAATTTGACTATTTATTGTCCTATGCAGTTTTGCTTGCATGAATATAAATATATTTTATAAGTGTGTGAATATCTATTTAAAATAAGTATGTGGAATCTTGCTATTTAAATTTAGAAATTTTTAAGTTGACTGATATAACTAATTTTATTTGTTTTATAATTGTATCAATTCCTGTAATCAAATTGTATAACATTAAACATAGAAATTCATTATTTATTTATTTTTTATATTAGGATTTAAAGTAAAAACAATTATAAATGAAGGATATTATAACTTAGTGGATGAAATATAGATGCATAAACAAACACCACAAAACCCGATTAAGTTGTAAAGCCAAACAACCACAGGATTACATTGGGCTACTTTTCCGTGATTATATTTAATTAATTACTAAATAATTTGTCACTAGAGGGAGGTGTTAGGTACCATCTCTTATTATATTTAATAATTATAATTAAATTAATATTTATTAAATATTTAGAATATTCTAAAAGAAAAGAATTAGTCTGGAGCAGACTCTAACCTGCATATTTTGCTTACTGTGCAATGTGTTGTCGGTTACGCTACCCAAGTCTCTGGTCTGATCTTCCCTTCCAGACATATTTAAATATGATATAACCATCCTCAGTTACATGCAGTGCCAACTGGTTATGCCTTCACCACCCTCGTCCCAGTCAACACTGTATGTAACCAAGGATGCATAACAACACAGAACATCACCAATTTTAATCAAGAAAACAGAAGCAAAATCAGCTAGACTGTTGGGTTTTTCTCTTAAACATTGTGATCCTTAGAATTCAAACCCACTTTTCACTGATTATGTAATGGAGACAATGCAGGAAAGATTAAATCAACTTAGAAATCAGATCATGTGATCATTTTGTCTTTGGAAATGACTGAACACATTATTGCTATACAGCTTATTAAATTAATATTATATATCATCTACATTCAATCTTAGCATATGTTTCACAAGTTAAAAAAACATTCTACATTTAAATCTGTTGCAATATTCAAATTGAACCAATCTGATGATGAGATATCTTCATTTTGTAAAGTATTTATTTACTCATCAGAAATAAGGACTTAAACATGATTTTTTTCAATTACATAGCAAGATAAAAATCAGTGCTTGAAGATTTATAGTGTCAATATTCTTAGGTAATTGTGTTTTTTTAACCTAGTAAGATCAACAGCCTGTAGTAATAGGTAAAAAATTAAAACAAAAATGCTTTAATTAGAAAAATAGTTTATTACAGAGAGGTTCAAACACTTTCAAATACTAAACACTCATCATTAGAAACAGTTATTTGAGAAAAAGGAACATTGTTACTTATGAAAAAATAAAAATAATGTTTGATTTATTTTGTAAATGTTTAGCAAACAATGATAAATTTTTCTAACAAAAGTTGTTTATTATGAAAGCTCTATTCAACAATACCCAACTTGACATTTGTTTCTTAACAGTTCAGACACAGTCGGCTGCTATTTCTGCTTTGCCTTGTTGTTGATAATGTCACCAATTGATTTTTCATACTGCCTTTAACTATAAAAATATTTTTCAAACCTTCTATGATGAACATTTTTCAAGAAAAACATGATGCAGAGAGTCTGATACAACCTGTACAAAATACCTTGCCAAATTATTAGACCCGTTGACTAAAATTATATTTTTTGCACTATTTTCTTCTTTTTTTCATAATATTGTTTAGGGAATGTGTATTTTTCATGTTATTCTTATTTTGTATTATATTTGAAACTCTTAACTTTTTTATATGGCAACACTGTAAATACAGTAGATCCCCATATAAAACCGTTTCCTATAGTTATGATTCCTATAAAAATTGTGGCAGTATCCGTAAACAACGGTAAAAATAACTCCTATAATACGTAAAACGTCATCGGGCAGCCGAACTACTTTCCCGCCGTCCGTAGCGCCACGCTACGGACGTTTAGGCGGATAAATTGAGTTTAGTATCGTCTGTTCATATAATTATATATAAATTAGGTACTGTACATATAATTATATATTAATTATATATAAATTAGGTACTGTATATATAATTATATATTAACTTAATTTATTGTAACTTTATTATAATTAAATATATATTTTTCGCCGTCTAGCGTCACGCTACGGCGAGTTAGGCGACCTATCGTCTGTCCAGTACTGTAATTTTATACATTTCTTGTGAAAGAAACATTTCTTATTTAACGGCCATAAAAATTATTTATATTAAGGATGTCTCCAAAGGTCAACGAAGTTTTCGCAGAAAAATAATATCAGAAATCGCGGCCGCGGTTTGATGCGCTGTTCCGCGACGAAACCAAGCTTTAGCAACGGGCGTAGTCGAACGGTACACACTCGGTAAGCAATCCTACAATTTTTTGTTTATAACGTAGTTTATACGGATTATTTTCAAAAAAATATACGTATTTTGGAAATGTTGAGTCGAATTAGTCTAGAATCGATTAATTTTATGAAAGAAAACCTTTCAAACAGCCGTAGTCCGTAAACTATGATTCCTACAAAATTGATTCATAAAGAACGGAACGTATCTACCGTCTTATAGGGGGATCTACTGTTTAAAAAATTAACTTTCTACTACAAAAAGGGAAGTGATAAATGTTCTTAGTAAGGTATGGCAGTGTAGCCCATTTATGCTAACAAAAATTTTAAAAAATGTATAAAGAGTATTCCATGTGACATAGAAGCACTACTGGTCATTAAAGGTAGTCATTCAAAATACTAATTTTCCTTTTTAATTTTTTTAAGTTTTGTTATTTTCAAATTTATATATATAAAATCTTACTTTTTATTTCATAAGACATGATAAACATTAATATTTTAAATAATCATATCAATTGCTTTTTTTATTGAATTATTACATAAAAACTAACAAATTACCAATTTTTTTATATGAGACTAATCTAATAATTTGGCAAGGTACTGTATATATTGGACAATTAAATGAAAAAAGGAACTTGTGAGAAGATTGAAAATGCATAAGTTGCTCATGACTTGTTGAGGCATGTCTTGGTGTGTCTCATGAAAAACACAGCTGTGTTTCTCAAACTTTTTAAATTCAAGGACTAGTAAAATGTCTAAAAATTTTAGATCACTAAGTTATGTAGACCTAATTTTTTTTAAACCTATGTGGGTATTACCAACATTTCGGACATGCCATGCCATTTATAACAAAATAAATCTAAAAGCATGTTTTGAATACATATGGAAACATAATTAATTAAATAGGAAGTAAACTATTGAAAGTGAATCATCATTGAACAAGTTTTAATCTTTATTAATTTAAATCTGCCTATAGACCACAAGTTGACAAACATTGACTTAGGGTGAAGCCACACTGGTTTACAAAATTGTTTAACTTATCAGATGTTTGAAACCTTTTTCATTGCCTGTGATGTCATGTTGAATTTTCGTCAATGTTAAGCCTAATGAAAATTATATGTTTTTGAAAAGTATAATTGTGGCTATAATATCATCCAAAATTATTTTTTTATTTATCACAAACAAAATAGATATATATTAATAAATGTAATAACCAAAAAATTATATTTTGAAAGTTATTTTTAATAAAAATTATAATGACTAGCGACATCTAGTTTCAAAAATGTTCCGATGCTGTAACAAGATAACTTGGGTCAACCGGTCAGGATTGTAACAGATATCTCGAGAATAACACAGTATAGGTTAAAGCACCTTTAAGGCAGCTTAAGGCAATTTGAAGGTTGTTAAAAACACAGGATCTATATGGTTAATACCTACTAAATAGATTCATCTTAAACATGTCTGAAATGATGAAAAACATGACTAATGCTCTAGTTTTTCTATGTTATATCCAGTTTAAGTAAATCAGTCTACATAAAAAGGTGTAATGCTGAAAAACTCATTTTTCTAATTGAAGCTAGAAAGTCTCTATATAATTTTAATATGAAAGAATATTGAAATAAATGAATAGATAAAAATTTATAGTAGGAATTTTATAAAAGTTTATATCTTTTTAGAATTGAATTCTCAACTAATCTTTCTGGATAAATTCATTTTAGTAAAATTAAAAACTTTTTATTCTGTTGAGGCTCTTTTATAAACTAAAAAATTGTGTAATCTATCATCAATTTGTTAAGTAACAGAAAAGCCCAAAATTTCTTTTTCACTTGCCTATTTCCAGATAATAAGAGTAATATCATCATCTGATTCAAACAACATTATTGCATAATAGTTCTTTTTTGTCTTTGTCTTGTTTTAGTAGTGGGGATGAACATATAAGGAAACCAGTTTTAATCAGCTCTGTCTAAAGATGCCTTAGTTATTTTTGTGTAGTAATCAGTATGGACTCACCGTAAAATCTTAAATATTTTTTACTTTAGATTTGAGAGAAAACATTTGAAACTTTAAATAAATAATCACCAGAAACATAATTTTTCAAAAATTAAGTTGGAAAAATTAACAAAATTAAAACTACAGGCTATTTTGCAATCTTTCTCCTGTCTTCGGCTTTTATTTATAAGATGACTGCCAAATGTTATCATAGAAATACAATCTTGAAATTCAGATTTGTAAACATCTTAATCATGTAAGATACAAATATAATGTAAATAAAATTAACTTTTAAACCCTATAATATAAATACAAACAGAATATGATTAAATTCAACCAATTTTTGTATAAAATTCAATTTTTTTAATTATTTTTAGGGATAACATTTTTCAACATGTATGCTAAAGTATTTCCAGTGTGTTGCTAAGTTCTTACTATCATTGATATTAAGTACCTCTCATATATATCCAAAGTGATTCTGCTATTCTTAAATTCTTCTTTGAATTAAAGATTCTAAAACATGACCACAATTTCAGAATATATCATCTCCATAAAATGCTTCTTGGGCCAAAGCCATGGCTGTTTTCCTATTGATATCTGTTCATTGTTCTTTTGTTTCCTTACAGATCTTCTAGTCATACCTATATG